TCTCCTAATACTATTCAAAACACCCGCCTCTCCCCATACCTCTCGGAGGAATTATAACCTCCCTCAATGCCCGCCTGCCACCGGAACAAAATAGCCTCGGGGATCACCCGATGCACGGGGAGCAGTCAACAAGCGAGTCTTGTTACGGAAAAAAGAACCGATCTATCCTGGCCTTAGATGGCATTTCGATTGTGTTAGGGAATATTAGATCCTTGCCCCTATCCGGCCATTTTGAGAGATTTCCCGTTTGTTCAACTTGAGCTTAATGCAGCGTTCATTCGTTGGTTTGATATCTATCTTCGCATTGCGTTCCGGCCGGCGGAGGATAAGGGGCTTCCTCATGCTATAATTCCAGGTTTATCGAAATATGTGATATAGTGCCGATACTATTCCCGGAGTCGATATATCAAGAATCAAACAATTAAGGTATAGCACTGTTGTCTCAATCCTGCTAGCAGGGGGGACAGGCAAGCAAGTAAACGTGCCAAGGACAATCACACCGAACCGGCGGGCAATCTAGCAAGCCACCGTACTTGAGAACGGTGCAATCATCACAGATGTCGCCGCATCTAGCACCTACTACCAATCCCTCCCATGGCTGTGGGAGAAACCTGCAGTACGGAGCCATCATAGGATCATGAAAATGCGGGTTTCACCATGGGGTGGGATTGAAACGACCGAGCTCGCTCGTGGAGGAGGAATTTCATTGCGGCAGCTCGATACCCGCAATATGACGGGGATTTAATTATTTGTTGTTATGATTTTACCATTTGATGCAACTTGAGCCTATTCTGGGGTTGCCATTTTTGTTTTCGATCTTGGGAGGGGGGATGCGCAATGCATGCAAGTGCTAAGGGGGAAGGAGGAAGGAAAGTTACGATTAACGAGGTTGGTGATTTACCTTTTGATCTCGATATCAAGGGTGGGTTTCATGTTGCGTGACATGACGGATGTTGCTTTTGCGGTGCTAGTGCCCGAGAGGAAGGTGTTTTCGCGCAGGGTAGGGATTATTTTGCGGGTTGACATGATTAACTACCGTAAGTGTTCGCTGACTCTTATGGGGGTGCTCGAGGGTTTGTGTGAGTGCTGCACGCTAGTTAATGGCTGTGGCACTCATAACCAGCGCTCTTGTGAGTTATATGGCGGAATGGGGAGATACCGTAGTGCATGAGCTGGGTTCTTGTGCTACGCTCTCGGTATAACATTTTACCAGCCACCCGTGTCCAATAATCGCTGCACGTCTACGGTAGTTGTCAAGTTTGAGATTTGCTTCTAGTTAGGCTGGATCGCCAGCCGGCCGTTGTTACTCGGGTAAGGAGTATGGATCTACGTATAGAACAAGTACGAGTACAAACTCGAATGAACGAACCAAGTATCTACGGCATGTCTCCATGTCGTTGGAGTTGCCTCCTTCGGTAACGTCTGATTTTTTTTTTTTTTTTTTTTTTTTCATGTCTCTCTCGGAGGGAAGCGCTTTTCTCACCCCTTTCCGAAAGTGGGCAATTCTCGACTACTTAGGGTAGTGCACGGTTCGATTACTCTAGTTTTTGCAGGTGGTCGTGGTGATCTCGGTGGTACCGAAGTCATGCGGAATGAACGTCCGAGTGATAGGAAATGGATTGCTAGTGTGGTTGGCGGGAGTTGGGATTGCGCAGGTATCCGTCACTATCAATCGTGATTGACCGACTGTACTCGTACAGACGCTGGGAGGAGAGACCCCTCTCTAATTTGCGAGTATGGATTGCGGGTTACGCTCGGGTATAGTAGTGAGTTACGGTATGTGGAAATTTTACATTTAGATTCTTACAAGTAGGATCGGGTCTGCTCATCCAAGAGAGATGCTTGGATGGATGACATCTTCGCAGTTATTAACTCCCTCTACTCGACTCAGACTTTCATTGGCTCTTGAGTGGAAAATATTGTTCTATCATACTTGTACGAGTACTCGTACAGTACTAAGGACGGGTTCTTAAAGCCACTTCCCTTTTGAGACGGTATGATAGGTCAAAAATTTTCAACAGCAAGTCTCATTGTAACGGCGGGGGCCAAAATTCTCCAATGGTTCACTTTATTGTTTTTTTTGTGCGATGCACACCGATTGTGGCACGGCTCTATTCGCGGATCAAGCGAAAAGGTTGGTAGCGAAGGTTCTACTCGTATCACCGGGACTGTCTTTCTCGCCAAGGGCTAGAACGGAAAAAAGAAAATAGGTAAATCCCAACCAGAAAGAATGTCTGAATGAGAGAACCTTATTTTACTTTTTTTATTATTATCTCATCCCCCCCCCCTCGCTTACTGTGCAGTACTTGTACCTTCTCTTACAGACCGTACGGCTGCAGGTATTTATGTTTAATATGATATTCCTTATGATACGGCTGGTACGGGCACATGTTTTACTCATTTATTACTCTCTCACATTGGAGCCTGCCTCAGGCATCAAGAGTTGTATCATATGTAATACGGACAAACCGAGGGCCGCAGTCCCTTGCAGATCACAATCCTCCTGAGCCCCAGCTAATACTCGAGTGCAACACAGTGCTTGGGTGTCAGTAAAAGCCGGAAAACCATTTCTCCCGATCCCATGATCGCCCCCAGAGACAAGGGTTAGGTATGTCATCGGATATACGGGCACCCGCGTACAGTATGATACTGGTACGGTACTCGTACACGGGTTCTGCACCTCAGCTGTCAAAGCCCACTTACTGTAGGCACCGAAGCCATCACTGGAATGTGGGTGTTTTCCTTTTTTTCTTTTTGTTTGCAGTTGCTGGCTACCGTACTGACCGGACTGACTGAAGCAGAAGCAATATCATACAAGACCTCGCTAATCCGCCTTGCGTTTTACCTGGTAAACTTAGTGCCCTCACCATCTGAAGCCTTGCTGATTTTTTGTGACTTGATGATGATGGTGGTCAGGGCGGGCAACTTGAGGTGACTTCAGTACCGTACCCAATTTACCTATTGTTAGGAGCAACACAGTTCAGCACGAACTCATCTCGTTTACATCATGCTTATCCTGTCATGCCGGGTTGTAATACCTCGCAGGAGATCAATCGGCGGATACGTTCTGTCCTCATGCAAATTCGCCAAATGCCACACCGGCTGCCCTAAGCTTGCCAACGACGATAGGATTGTGGCTGGTACCGGTGACCGGTGAGCCTTTTCCCCTCCTCCCTAGGGTGGGGGTGATGTTATTTCAAGGGGCGCGTTTGAGGAGTTGGCCGATAGTGCAGCTCGGTGGGGGAAATTTGGCGGACCCCAATCTGTTAGCGAGATACCCGTACAGCACAGTACTGTACTAGTACAGTTCCGGGTGAGAATTACTGTTACTGTGTCTTCTATTTATTTCCCTTCACTGTGGATTTTTTCTTTCGCTTTTCCATGATACCTTTCTTTAGCACTAACTTGACTGGCTCGCGTGTGTATAGTGGACATCGGTTGATCTGGCAAGTCGGCACGATGCCGTAATACTACTTGTAGTACAGTACTGTACAACAAGGCTTCAACGACAACTATATTTCGCAAAGCTTTCCGGATTCCGAGCTGCGTCCCTTATTCTGTTGTTTCGGCTGTGCTGTGCCTCGGACAAACTTCTCGTCCCTGGCAAGAAGTACCTGAACGTTGGCATCTGAACTTAGCATGGGCGCTCACATGTCCATAGACAATCTGCCATACGAATTTTTGGTCCTAGGTTCGGGTGCCTGTAGCCTCGGACGTGTGCTGTACCACTTTTTCAAAGCATAAGTGGCTTTGCTATTGATATCTATGCGGCCTTACGGCGCATTTAAGTCTAAATCATATTACCCCATCAACTTGATAACATAGATTAAGGGCTTTCCCCCCTGTCATTCTTTGCTTCCACCTGGTTCCTTCCTTCTTTGTTGCTTAGGTGGTTGGAAGGAGGGTCGGGTGAGGTGTCTTATGATCATGGCGTGTTCTTCTGGCGACTAAATGGCTTTGCGCGCTCGTTAAAGGTAAGGTGTCTTCGGGGCAGATATTACCCCCATGGTTTGATCTGGGTGCTGCTCTCTTTTCGTCCGTTGATTAGTTAATTGGCCTTACAGCAACTTATTGCGACCCTTAGCACGGCTGTCGCATATGCAAATTCAATAATAATATTTTATATTTTTTTTCCCCGGCGTATTTGATCGAAAACTGCGGTTCCGGTAGGCGTTCGGTGGTTTTGACGGCCCCACACAACGTTGACACCCCCAGGTATCTTCCATCAACTTGCCTCCTTCCATATTATGATATCATACGAAGTCAGGCCCGAGATCAAGTCTTCAAGAGCTGGGGGGGGAGGCGGTCAAAACCCCGAAACATTGCTTTGGGGGGTTTCAAGCTAGTAAACGCTAAAAGGAAACAAAAAATCTCGAAAAAATTTCCCACTCCACGACGACAACCATATTGGGAACCGCGGTATACCATGCTTTGCTTGCACTGTGCTGACAAGTATGATACAGCACAGTACATATCCCCAACCCTCAGGCTTGATCAGCTAATCATGCACCAGAGCGGAGATTCGGCATCAGACATCTTTTTCTTTTTCTTTTTCTTTTGCCCAAGCGTTATTGAGACTGAACGACCCGCTAGGCTTTTACTCTACGTTGAGCCAGAGTGGCCGGTTCGATTCCACCGTCCCGCACCGAACCCACTCACCCAACTTGTCGAGCACCTGATATGATGCATTAGCTCCGAGTTGTCAATCTAGCCGGGGAATAGCAACTTGCAGCATTCTACTCGTACAGTGCGGTATCACACGAATATAGTACTGTACAGCACACATCTCAACATCCCTCCCCCGTCGAGAGAAGAAAAGAGGGAGGGAGGGAGGGTAAAAAAGGCACATTGACAATGCTAGACATACCCCTTCCTCCATCGCCTCGTCTCCGGAGCCATGGTCACTTTTCGGTGTCACGCTTCAAACGAAGCCAAATAACGATTTGCACTAGCCATCACTCGGAGATGGACTGGGTGGTGTAATATTAATTAAACCTGGCCTTGACAGCAACAGCAACCCATGCCGCGCGCACCAACGCCGCAGGTCATTTTGGGCCCTACCGAGATCTGGCGATGCAATAATAATAATTGTGATTTCAATCACCGGCCTACTTAGCATAGCAGTGCTGGCCCAACGCATGCGGGTGTGCTGCGGGCGAGTGAGTGAGTGAGTGTGCGCGTGAAGTGCCTATTCGCGCAATTTTTTTCAGATGGCCCACTTCTACCTTCTTTGCTTACTCCCCTCTCCCCCATCCTTTTCCCGGTCGTCGTCTTTCCTTTCCTCGGTGATGGTGGGTGAAGGGTTGGGCGAGATTCACCGGAGGGAAGGGAGGGGGCATTGTCATGTATCATAACGTAATGTATGGAGGAGGAAGCCCTGATCACAGTATTGTATACTAACTATGATAACTGGAAATTCCAAACGCTTACTGTACTCGCTGGAGGATTCGAAGGATGGGAAGTAAGGAAGGAAGGGTTATTCACCCGAACGATGGCAGTGCTGAAAAATATTGGACCATCAAGTCCAGTCTAGGCCCCCGCACGGTTACGCGACAAATCCTTCCCATGCAGATAGATGGAGCAGGCAAGGGGAAAAGGTTCTTCCGAAAAAAAACAAAGGATGGAGCGAGCGAACGGGTGGGGGGGGGGTTTACCGGTACCGGTAGTTTAGTTAGTTATGTCAGCGTCAAGCGATAGTGCTTCGTTTGTATCATACTCGTACCCTATTCACTGTGACCCGGAAAAGGGGAGGGGGGCAAGAGAAAAGGGCCAGATAATCAAGGAATGAACCGGTAAAACTTGATGACCATGCGTTACTGGTCTAGAATAGAGTGCTTTCAAGTTTTTTATTTTTATTTTTCACTTTCCACCCCCCCCCTTTTTTTTTTAAAAAAAAAAAAAAAAAAAAAAAAAAAAAAAACATCGATAATCCGTCCTAAATAATCCGTCCTAAATTTTGCTCGCATGCTTATTCTATTCTATTCTATTTTATTTTTTGCAAAAAATAAATATTATAATTATGCAGCATACAAGTATGATACAGTACACTGTACGAGTACAGTACAGCCGGGGCTGAAAAACGAAACGAAAAATAAAAGAATAATAAAAAAAAAACCCCCCGGACGCCGGAACGGTGCAAATAAGGAACTACCGGTTAACCAAAAAAATGTATCATAACACCCGCAGCGAGATTCGTGGACCTTTCGGGAGGGCGTTTTTGGAAAGGTTCGAGAAAAGCAAATATAAATCTTACCGACGTTTTGGTCAGTATAATGGGTCAGAAGTGAGATTCGTACTGTACTGTACTGTACTGTACTGTACAACGACCGGATCATCCTTTTTAGCTATTGAATATTTCTTCTTCCAAATCCTAATATTATTGGAAATAACTTTCTAATCCTTTGTTCTTTGGATATCATCTCGAACAGATTATGAGCGGTTATATAGTACGAGTACTGTACTAGTACAGTATGATACCGATACCTTGTCAGTAGAGTAAATACGTAAGTATCATACTTGTGAATGGTGGAAGCTATTTTGACATGGATGCATTTTTATTAATTTTTATTTCGTTAGATTTTTTTTTTTTTTTTTTTTTTTTCTGGGGGGCAGGTTTACCGGGTGCTGGGTGGGTCGAGTTTAGTCGGGGTCTGGAGTAATTTTGGCAGATTCGAATTCATTCATTCCGACGGTGTGTGAAATAACCAGGACGAGCAAAATTTTGCTCCAAGATCCTTTACCGCCGTCCGAAAAAAAACATACAAGTTACCCATATGCGACCTTTTTTTCCAAATCGATTGTACTGTACAGTATCGTACCGTGTTAAAATATTTATTCATTGGAGATGATGATGATGATGATAATAATCATTAAATTTTAACGAACGCTTCGTGCAGGTTTTGGATGGATGGATGGATGGATGGATGGATGGATGGTACGTATGCGTTGCACCCCGCGCTTGACGGACAAAATTATTTTTTTTTAAATTTTTTTTCCTTCCTTTCTCGCAACCGGGAGAGTGATCTCCTTGGGCGATGCTGGGACATTTTTTTTTTGTTCTGGGAAATGCGATTTTTAACGCGTCTGGATTACCATGCTATCATAATTTGGAATGTTTTTTTTTCTTTCTTTCTTTTCTTTTCTTTCTTTTTCGGATCGTTCGAGGGGTGAGGGATAGGTTATCGTCTAAATATCTTCTGCAGGTGCAGTGGTTTATTATTAGTGACGATAGTTTATGGAGGGAGAGCACCTATTGCTCGAGTGATGATAATTACTTGATTTATCCTAGCTGATCATAAGAGGGATTATTATGGGGCAGGAATTGTTTGTGTGATATGATGTGGACATTCTCGTTTATTGTGGACTCGCTTTGCCGTGGAATACGTAGTGTACCACCGTACGAGTACTCGTACTCGAAGTACCCGGGTGTGTGTGTCCACAAGAATCGGAAAGCAATGATACAAGTAATAACCCTTGTCTCCCGGAGACCTGTACTCGTACAGGTACTCGAGTAGGTGCTCGAGTATGGGTCAGCAGAAATGGCCTTCCGATTCTCACAGACACACCCGAGTACGAGTACTCTGCTGTACCAAATTTCCCATCTCTTTCTCTTGTATCAGGCTGCCGTATCCGCACCGCATTAATTTATTGGAATTGCCTGTCGTTTCTTTTTCTTTCCTCCTCTGACCCCCTTCTACCCTTTTTCTTCCGGGGGAATTTGCAAGGATCAGGGCTCATTATACAAGTACGAGTACTCGAGTAGTGCTCCCCCTCCCCCGCACCCCTTCCTTCCACGATTTCTTTTGGTTCGGTTTGGCACAACCCCGCATTCTTGGCTATGGCGCATTCTCGGCTACATAACTCGAACACATTGCTAGCGTGCATTTGAGGAGGGTGAGTGAGGGAAAACGGTGAGCTAATTAGGAAGAAGAATAAACTTGAAGGGAAGTCGTAACCGGTTGCTTTTTTGGAAGAGTGAGGCGGAAGATGGCTACCTAACCTCTGCGGATATCTATGCTTGATGCTCATTAGAATGGCATAGTGTGCGCGGTAGAGATAGATTAAGATGGTTGAGGATGATGAGGGTGTCTATGGTGAGTTATGCTATGGCATGTATGGCCGACGGTGAGGTAAGAGAGGGTCACGAACCTTCTCGTGGTCAGCGAAGGCGACTAAGGTTGTGTAATGTGCATTACTGCTATGTAATGTGATGTATGTGTTTGTGCACTGATAACATGTATCTACCGGTAACGGTACAGGTACTTGTACTTTGACGGGAAAAAAGGCAAGTTGCTCGTATTTCATTTTGCGCCGGGGCGTTCCTGGCTGGGATGGATGGTTGTTGCTGATATCGCGATGGCTTGAGCACGGCAAAAGCAATCAGAGGGGCGTTTCTGACTTCTTCCGCCCTGGATCCTGCTGTCCCGGTATCATACTCGGGTGGTAGTAGTACTCGTATCATACCATTACTCTAGGTGAGGTAAGTGAGGTCACGAATCACATCACATCGTGATTCGTGATGATTTCTGGATGGAAGGGTGTTGGACTTTTTTTTTTCCTTTTTCCTTTTCTTCCTTTTCATTTCTCCTCCTCTCTTGGGCCGACGCTTACCCGCACCCTTGGGCTCGTTCGAAGCGAGGATTCGGTGTTGCCCACCATTGCCCGAGGATGATGATGAGCTCCGATCACTGATGAGTGACGTTGAAGCGTGGCTAGAAATGAGGCGGAAGGAGCCACATTTCCTCACCACCACAACAATGGTGATGTTTCGCAACAAACCCTTTGTGCGAAATGTGCGGTGGGACTTTTGCTCGAGGTCTGGTCCCGAAAGATATCTACCGGTAGCCTACTCGTACTTGTGCTATATCATTATTATTCGCTGCTTTATCACTGCTTTACCATTTGCTCTTGTTCCTGCTTGTTTTATCTCCGAGTTCCATATGGCATCTCTAATTGCCGAGCATCCTGGGGAGTTTTTTGACGTCATAACAAAAGGCCAAGCCTTATCTACCTGTTTTTGGCGGGATATGTCTACTCGAGTACTGTACTGTACAAGCATCATACTCCAGAGCTTCCTCGCAACCTTCACAATCTCCCACCTATAGCTATTACAATTACCACGATTCCGCCTCACACCCATTCTCGGCGCCCGAGACACTCTTGACACACAATGGACGTTTACTACTGCTTTAATTACCGTCAGTTGTCTCCGTCCTGAGCGTTTTGAATCTCTCCACTAACTGACTCGATCGATAGTCTCATCGGCGTGGATGTTGCTCGAGGCACTTCCGCTGATTACGACTCCCACAATTATAATTTCCATGCTCTCGTCTGAGGTCCGGGAACCAACGCGTAAGCCAAAAACCAGCCTTATCGCTCAAACCTAATCACGGCTAATTTTGGACGTATAATATCATAGAATTGGAATCCTACCTATCGCGATCCTTAGGGCTTGCACTCATCGCCTTCGCGACCCTTAATTTGTTACTAACGGGAAGTATCCCTCTTGTGGTAAGGACTCCACCCCACACGTGAGGGCCATCGGGAGCGAAACGCTAAGGATGTGTGCCCTTTCCCTAGTCCTCGTTTGCAGCGACGGCAACGGTGAAGGGTACGTCGACAGACTTGGAAGACCCAACAGCCCCATACGCTGTCCCCTCGCTATCCGTGACACTCACCTATCACATTGCCGTCGGGTTCTATTGCTACCAGCAATGGGCGCTCGGACGGTCCGCCACTTATGCCATTGGCATGATCGCTCACGGCTTCCTTGCGGCCATGGGAGTCTGGGTCATGATGTTTGCTAGTTCCAACGGGCATATCTATCGGAAGACGGGCGCAGATGACAAATCTAGTAGCTTTCCGATGACAAATATGGATGGGAAAAAGGAGAAGTTGGGTAAAAAATTGTGAGTCAGAATCAAGAGAAGCATAAGGGGTAAACGAAATTGGAAGCCAAGCCATCATTTCGGGGTTTCAAATTGACTCGTTCAGGGGGTTTTCTTTTCTTTTCTATGGAAATCATTTCCTCCCCTTTTTTTCATTCCGGAAGGCACTTGTACCACCTCCTCTAACGTTAAACTCCGCCATGCACATTCATCTCCCATCCCTTTCCTACCCACCATTTTTTCCTTTTCCATGTCATTGCAAGTCACTTGGTCCGTCTTCAGAGCATTGATCGAGGTTAAAGGGTTGGTTTTTATGCAAACGCAATCGCAATATCATCGCCGAGCAATAAATATTGTTTCTCTCATTGTTCATGTCTTCTCACATCACCACCCTTGACCGCAACCATACTCGAGCGATATCCCATGAACGGCTACTACCCGATCGCTACATACATAATTATACGATGCATGCGTGCATGCATGCATACATTATCACACCCTTCGCGTAGAAAAGGCCAAGCATTAACGCAATCCCCTTCATCCCCAATCTTTTTTATTGGCAAGGCAATCGTGATTGCGGTCGCTCTTATCGATACGTGATACCCAGCCTCATCAGCTAGGCGAAATCTTCTGCTCTACGCGCGCGAGCTTAACTTTCCAGGCGGGTGGGTCGGTGAGTGAGGGAGTAACTACCGACTCACTTTGTATCACCCCTCATTTTACCTGCCGCTGGGCACTTTATATACTGCACGAGCATCGTATGTTAGTAGCTACAAAATTCAAAAACGGAAGCTGACTAACACACGTAAATTTAGTTATCATGGGACGTTATTATGCTCACCTGCCAAATCGGTACTGTACGCCATGTATCCTACCCGCATGAGGTGGTTTCCAACACTTGTAGCCACCCACGACCGCCTTATCCCCCCCTCCCTTCCTTCCTTCCTTCCTCGGTGGCGGTTTCAGAAACCGCTTCACGGATTGGCACTCGCGGAATGTTTCATGCAAGTGGTTCCAGTTGCTGTGGAATCAAATGGTTGAGCTGTACTATTGCTCGAGTCGCCTCCTTTGGCAAGGTCTGGTATGATATTTCATTTTTTGGGGGGTTTTTTTAATTTTTTTCGGGGGGGGGGGGCTGAATGATACCTTTTTGCGCTTTTCGCCCCTTTCCTAGAAAAGGAGGTTTTGGGCTGGTCTGCGCGGGTTTCGGTTAATGAGATTCTGAGGTGGTATCATAAGGCTTGCTACTGTTTGTTTGTTTTTGTTTGTTGGTTCGGTAAGGCTTGTGGGTGGTATGTACCTTGGTCCTTGGGTAAGTGTCCTGGAGTTTTGACTCAACTTCCGGATCCATCATCACGGTCTGTGCGATTACATAGGCTGCAGGTCGAATGCTTGTCAGCAAGTTTTAACCTCCAATTGAGTTTTGTCGGCGTGCTGACAGCATGTTGGGTCACAATAGTATTATTTTTTCCGTCATCTTTTACAAGTATGGAAGCTAGAAGTATACTATCGAGGGAGTTACAGGTATTGGGAGGCTTTGCGTCCTAGTCGGGGAGAGGGCGTGTACCTAGGGGAGTGCTTCCTCAACCTCACCAGAGCCTTTCGCCCACATATTGCGGGTATGATATAACAGACAACACTGTCGGTGCTCGTATCGTGCGAAATGCGGAGCGAGGAGCAGCCAAAAGGCCCAACCATATGCCGTCCTAGTGAAACTTGGGACCCAGCGATCTGGGCACAGCGGGGCCCACCTCGCTCGAGTCCGCGAGGGTGGACTGGGCAAGTGATCGAGCGACAATCCTTTCCACAAAGTGAACGGGGTCACCTCACCCACCGTGACGAGAAGCTCGAGTAGGCTGTGAGAACCCCGTATGATGTGACCGTATAATGTTCCCGATAACCAAAGGTCATATCGGCTGGGCCTCGATTGAGCCTTGCACAGATGTGTGTTTGACGCCCACTTCGAGAAAAGCCTTGCATGGGACTTGCTTGTCTTGTACGAGTACACTCTTGGTTGTATTTTTTTTTTTCCTTTTCCTCTTCGTCTGGCGCTAATGTACCCGCTGGCTGTTACTATATGTCCTTATGAGCCGGTGCTTACATGTTCTGTACAGGTATTATATGTAGGTGAGGTGTGTGGTACATATATATAATGGTATGCTGGTAAGTCTACTCATCCGGATGGATCTCGGAGGGTATAGATAGATTTAGGTTGGTTTGGATTGGTTGAATCAGATGGAAAAGTTACTGGTATGATATATCCTTCCTTATGCGGTGCGGCATACATCTAAGGATGCGAGGACTAGATATCCTAGATTATCTACTTCTTCTCTTGTCCTCTTTTTCCCCGTGGGAAGGGAGAATCATTGGAGATGATGATAACTTGGCTGAGATTTTGTAACTTTGCATTTCCTGTCCACGGTTGCACCGACATCTGCTTATATCTGAATAGCAATGCTCAAATATTTCCGAATAATACTACTAATAATAATAATAATAATAATACCCGCATTAACAATCCTAGACGCTGCCTATCATACCTACCCAGACTGCGAGCTTTTTCTTAACCTCTTCACATGAACCATAAACCATCCAATCACGCGATATCACTTGCAACCCTCGAATGCGCACTCCACGGTACATTCACAACACAACCAGCCCGCGCGAATAGGCATTACCTATTGACCGAGTTCTGGACGCTCTCACTGAGTCATCATTGAACGGGGTGGAGGGGGTGGAATTCGTCCCACACATCACGCTTGACACATCCATCAAACAATTCCTCCATACCATACGCATACCCTCTCGTCCCCGTCACTTGCTTCATGAACCGTGAACCCCCTGGCCCGAGGGGGAAATATGATAGTCTGGCGGGGCGGTGCTTTATTTTTTAAAAAATAACTCAATGCTCTATTGGGTGTGACACGTTTGGGAAATATATGCTGTTTTTTTTTTTTTTTTTTTTTTTTGTAGAGTTTTAGAATGGGTTGGGGATTCATCCTGCTGAGAGGACTTTTTCGTGGCGGCGGCGGTACGGATCTCGTTTGTTTCCTGCGGGTACGATTGGAGATATTGGACGTGATATGACTTTTTTTTTTTTTTTTTCAAGCAGAACGGGGGGAGAATTTTGTCGACGTGGGCGGGAGTGCCTTCTTCGGAACCATTTTGTTGGTAATATTTCTCAGGTCTTGAGATACAATCGATCCCGTTCTCATATCACTTGCACGATTCATCTAATTTTTACCCTAGACAAATCTTTCCCATTAGGAGGACCGCTTCTGGCCATGTGTGGTATGATATCATAGCGCTATCTATATTCCGTGCTCCGCTTGCGTTTGGTATGATTTACCCGGGATGCTGGAGAGAGAGTATCATAATCACTGTATCACTTACTATGATAAGATTGCATATTATCGCGGAGCAGACGGGATGCGAAAAATCCCCGCAGTCCTTCCATGCCGAACATGTCCGTGTGCAAACCCCGAGCCAAAGTATACTTATCCATCCATCCATCCATCCATCCATCCATCTATCCATCTATCCGGTAGCCGTGCGTGCGTGCGCGCGCGGGATGGGCTGGGTGGTTCCCTGTGAGGGGCTCATATATTGGAAGAGAGGGGAAGGATTTGGTTCGACTATACGTACAGAATACAAGTACAGTGCCCCAGGTTCACTCTATCTCTCTGTACTGTACTGTACTGTGCTAATACAGACAGACGGACACCCGGAATCGCACAAGTCCTTTCGGAACGGAACCTCGAGATTGCGACATAACTTACAGTTCATTATTAATACTCGTCTCGTCATTCCCAGCTATGATACCTTACCCTCGAATGGGGATATCTGTTTGCGGTTCAATACTCATACCGGGCGTCTCAGTAATATACACGTAAAAGTTAGGATGAACCTCGTCTCTGCGGACGATACGTCATTCCAGTACGCTTCAAAGCTGCAGGTGGGGTAGGTATGGTTTCTGAAGCCTTGGTGGCCATATTCTCCGTGTGCTGGGCATTGGGTTGGTTGTTTGAATCAAGTTCGTTGGGGGGGGGGGGGGCATTCCTTTAGAGATCAGATTGAGGGTAGGGATAGTTAGGTCTGTGAATTTCCCGTAGGTGGTGTTTGTGAGGTATTGGCCATGTGGGGGTTTGGGCGGTGGTCTTGTATTTCTGTTGACGATTGGGAGGAAAATTGATAACTTGAACTTATGGTCTTTCGATATTTCCTTCGATTGATTGCCGCGCTGATCGACCTCGTAAGCTGTGAATAGGTATCCTGAGGTGTATGCTGGTTTACCCAGAGTCCTCTATTGTCTTTTTACCCAATGGCACTGCTTCTCGGTCGAGTGATTGGTTGTAGTGGTGGGTTGTAAGAATTGTGCCTGGGTTTGAGCCCATGATCGGCGCACTAGAATTGAACGGTACGACCTCCTCTAGTTAAGATTCCATCTAATATGGATATTTACAAAATCTATAGAATGTATAAGAACAAAGACTGACATATCAGCTACTTCTCCTGCTCGCCATCAGCCTTAGTCTCAACCGGCTTCCCGTCCGAGTCTAACTCCCCGCTCAGCATCTTCCTATACGTATCCACAGTCCTCGTCAAGCCAACCCCAATATTACCCAAATTCATAATCAGGTCCGCGCCGCCAGCGCCCCTCAACATAGCCAGCAACTCCCCACGGAGGGTGTCAATATCCGGCAACAGCGCCAACACGCGGATTAGGTCGACATCCATCACCCTCCCTTCCCCATACCGGCCCCCATAAATATGTCCATCGACCCTCCCAGCCAGCAGCACAAGCTTCTGTAGTCCGCTGATGGCCAACGGATCTAACCCCTTCTTTGGATTCTTCAGCGGAAACAGAATATCAAGCGCAACCTTCAAGTGCGCCGGCTCCACGCTCGGAAAGCTCAACGCGGCAACCGGACCCGTGAGCACGGGCGAGAGGGGGTGCGTCTCCTTGAGCTTTTCGACCTCCTTCGCGATTATTTTACTGCCGCCGGGTTCCGAGCTGCGCTTGTGCTGCGGATCGTACCCCTCCGCCACACGCAATGACGCGGCGAAAAGGGCTGGCTTTAGCACCATGATACGGGTCCCTTCCGCCAGCGTAGATGTCGGGTCGAGCTTTCGTAGGCCGAAGAGGAGTTCCCGACGGAGCGCTACCCATTCCATCGCGCGGAGGTTGTTGTGCTGGAAGAAGATCATTAGGCCCGTTGAACGGAGGAGGGAGAGGTATGTTCTGTGGAGTTGGGTTTTTCGGGTGTACGGCGATTTGACGGTTCGTGGTTGCGTCGGTGATAAACCTGGGAGGGTTGGGGGTGGTAGGGGTTTATCGGTGAGTATTGAAGTGGAGGGGGAGGGGGAGGCGATACTGGCGTATGTGCGGGTGAGCCTGAGAAAGGGGAGTGGTCGGAGGGCCATTGTAGAGAGATTGCGAAAATGGTGGTTGTGTTGAAGGTGGGGGTGGCGGGATGTCGGGAATTTTCAGAGTTGAAACTTTCCTTAATCCCGAGTAATCGGGGGTTAGACAGGTGAGGGGTAAAAATGTATCAAGTCATGTGATAAGTTACCTGAGAGCTTCTGTGTCGTACTCGAAGCTAGAAAGTGCCCTTGGACAGTCGGATCTTCATATTTTGTACATAATCAAGAGCTATGATTTAACACCTTTTGCTCAAGGAATGAATTGACTAAAAACCCTAACCCAGGGCAATGATTGGGGTGGGGAAAAGGCGGGACGATTTATAAGAAGTTCCGAAGGCTGTGGTAATCAAATCATACTTGGCCAATGTTCTCCCTCTCTCATGGGATTAAAGTGTGATTTTTATCATGTACTTGCACCAGAACCACCCCCGGGCCGAGGCGATGGGCAAAGGGCATGTCACATATCACCTACTCTTAGGTAGATTGTAGCTGCGCTACGTGGCTGTGATCTGGAGAGGTGAGTATCCTTGGACGCCTTTTCTGCACGTACTCGCCAGGAATGGAGTGGGATTGGGGCCTCCGTGCTGCCCAACAATGGGAGACTCCGCGATAAACCAGGGAAATCTTTGTTTTTCTCATCGGAGATAGGGCCATCGATTGAAGCAGACGCTCCTACCAACCTAACCCGATCGATGGTAGGTTCTGATGGCTGCATCTAGTCCAACCTGGCGCTATCTTCCCTACTCCTTGTACGATAGCATATTCCACATGTCCAGGTTAGTGGAGTGTGAAATGAACTCTAAACGCCACCAAACTTTTTACAACGGGCTATCTAGGGTGGCTAGCCCAGCTTCCCAAGTTTATACAGTATTTGAGAGGAGGCCATCGGGTTTATGCCGGCTGAGGTACAGTAGCCAGTATAAATTTAATCTGCCAACGTCTTTTACTCCAAGTCACTGCACGGGCCGGAGCCCCGTAGACCACCATTTGCCACTTTCTTCAGGCGAGCCGTCACACGATCCTGACGCTCATATCTCACGCTTTTAACTCTCCCCAATGCAAGCCCCCCAAGCCCAGTCTACCCCGCAATGCCACACCCCCCAAGATCGACGCCCCCCTCCCCCGCCGCCCTCCGAACCTGGCCCTAGGCCCAATCCTGCAACTCTTCATCCTCCTCCTTCCTCCACTCCTAAAAATAATGCCTCCCCTCCAGGCCCCGACAACTCCACAAGGCAATGGGTAAAGTAAGTAACCTCACATAGCTCCTCCAGCTCCCCCTTTCTCCCTTCAAAATCCAAATAAGCTTTAACATGTTCATACTCGCGATCAATACTGGCCTCCCATTCCTCATCACTGAGGGTGTCTTGGGAATCTAAGAAGGCGTTGAGGGAGTCGTTGAGGTTATGATATTCGAATGTAGCCAGGCAAGTAATAAAGTCTGGAGTGCAGGCTAGGAGGACGAGCTAGTTGTTGTATATCGCGCGGTCAACACGGCGGACTACATTAGCTGACGGAGGGAAAGTGTTAAATCTAAGAAGGCGGAGAGCAGTGCCGTAGGATCGCGGGCGCAGGACAGTTTTTATAGAGACGTTCCTGGTATCGGTTACCCTCCGCTTGTAGCAGAGTAACTGAGCATCCTCCTCTTTCCCAATTTTCACCCCGCCATTGAGAATACCCATCCTGTCCAAACTCCCAGCTGGCGGCGACCTCTTCACCGTCACCTCACCCTGCCCCCGCAGCACAAACCCCATCCCAACTTTTGAGATAACAGGCCTAATCCCCCCCTTTAACTTCCCCTCCTCGATCTTCTTTCCGAAAACCCTCATTCTCCCCTCATGCGTTCCTGAAGGGTGCCTCAACTCCGCCTGGAGTCGAAGGAACTTTACTGCCTCGGCCCGGAACTCTCCGAATTCGTTCATTGCGATGCCTTCGCTGATGCCGTATTCGTTTTCGAGCCATATGTCGTGATAGGGCTTACTTGTGCGGATGAGCGCATTCAGGGAGAAGGCTGGGGGGTTTTCATTATGTGTGGTGTGATTTCCGGAGTTAACCGCTCCAGGACGGGGTTTCGGGGTGGGGAATGGAGGAGCTGGGGGTGTTGGATAGTTTTCTGATCTGATGGGGACAGAGAGTGGTGGGGGGACATACATCATAGAGAATTCGCCGGCTTAGGAATATGAAACTGGAGACTGGAAAATTGTTGGGTGCTTTTCGTGCACTGGCCTTGAGGTTGAGATTAGGGGGAAGATGAAGATGTATGTGAAGATGCAGGAGGATAGAATTTGTAGTGTTGTTGTGAACAGTCCCTCTCGGGCCAGTAAAGGGAGTTGTCCATACAAAATAAATGTTCCTTTAGTAGAAATTTGCACCTGGTGGTTTTATTAAAGGACGGTCCAAAGATTTTCAAGAATATTGTAGCAGGCTCAGGAATATTATGTCTTTTTAAGCTCACGCCAAGATTCTTCATTCATTAGCTCGAGTGACCAGACATGTCACAGTCCCAAATTTGTCTTTTTGCATTAATTATAACTACAGCTTATCAGATACTTCTTTTGTTCTATTAAAGAAGGCCCACAAGTATTTCTGCTGTTATAGGAAGGCCGCATATAACCCTGGAAATTTTAACCCACTTCTAGTCGGTGATACGCCGTTGCTTCGGGTTTTTTTTTCGTGAACAACCAAATCCCGCGGTTTCACAGAAGATTGGGCCATTCTATAAAAAGAGGTGTATAGAGATGTAGATATCCTTACAGGTTTCTCAAATTGGGATGAAGGCGGCTGTAGGATAGGGGTTAACCAATCCCAAGTGCAGTAGTTATCATACTGCGTACTGTACAACAGTGGGTTTCACTGCTCGTGATTGATAAATCTTTTCCATCGAGCTTGCATTCTGTAAGCGAAAACCAGACCTTTGCTTAGCTTTCTCTCGCTCGGGCATAAGAGCATCCATCTCTTATTGCTCACAACCCTCTCCTCCCCACAGGTCTTGCGAGGATCCCACTCGTAGTGTCGAAGAGTTCCAAAAAGAACTGATATCGCATACCACTCAGATCAAAGAAAAAAGACCTAATTTTGATGACGGGTTATGCGATCTCAGTCCTTTTTAAAAGGGCTCGACATCACGAGTATCCCCGGAGCTGCCTGGGTACTATGCGTTCCGACTTTCTTTTTCGATACCGGTAGGGGATTCGATACGGCGCAGACCAGAGATGGCAGTTTATGCGTTAATACAGTATATTCAAGCAGGGAACTTATATCTTAGCTAGATCGAAGCGAGGAAAACGCCACTCCCGGCCGTTCCCATGTCCATGGATCGGGGTTCGGGCCCAATGGAACGAGAATTCGTGAGGAACACCAATCAAGTTGATCTATGGTGATAGTGAAGGGAGTTGAAAAACAAATTTTGTTCTGCGTTGGATGGATCGATAATTCTCATCGTATCACGAACTCGATCATATTATTGATAGCGCGGTACCGTATGAACTCGAATAAATAGACCATGTGATATGTAGTCCAAAATTTCCTCCTCTAGAAGGGGGGTGAAAAGCACACCAAAAATCTGCTTTCCGAGACAGATAAAAATAAAAGAACAACTCTCACGTCCTACAAGTAGCACATGGTCCGATTACTTGAGTTCCCACGGCACCCGCACTCGGGAAGGTCGTTGAAAATTGGAAACTAGTGAGAGCCTTGCTCTGGTGGCCAGGCTCCAAAACTATAGCTAACTTGGAAGCTGGGCGTCATTTGGAGACAATAGCAACTGTGATATGATATCCCAAGAGCAGCATGGTAGTAACAAATAGAAAGTGTATACCAGAATCAGAAATAGCCCAATCTTGTACCGTACAAGTTCATTGAGATAGTGGAGATTCCCTCTAAACCTTGATTCTCACCTGTTCGATTGGGTTTTGGGTGTAACTTCAAAGTAGCCGGTCCGGGTTTTTGACTCCCGTAACATTGCCTCTCTCCAAACAACTATGGTCATCCTGTCAGATAATAGCTGGACTAGATCGCCACCTGCTAGTTTCCGATTTTGAAGGACGCCCCCCGAGTACCATCAATCGAGCAGAGACAACGAACAGCCCTACCAAATTTGAGGTCTCGCCACCAGATTTTTAGTGTGCTTGAGTATTGTTCGCCGCCCCCCTGTTCGTTGTCCCCTCGCCTATTATTGGGCGGGGTTTGAAAACTCGATCATCGGCCAGGTTTGCACTCCCCTCATGTTTTACTGGGCTTGATGCGATTCGACAGGTCAGCGAACTTGTCAGGAGCGTCTTGCAGTCGGGTGTGGTAGTGTGATATAGGATTTGTGAATGTTGGCGTGGCTGTAAATTACCTCGCCAGAAACGAGGATAATTGATCCTTTCAGGGCTACCAGTTACTATGTCAGTATCGTACCGGTTTCTGCATTGTGGGAATAGCTTACCAGACCCTTGCTCCTACACTGTACAGTAGTGTCATACATTGCAGGGTTCACCATGGACACCCTGAGGCTGCGTAAGATGGCCCATTTGAATTCCTAGGACTCCAATACACCAAAAGCCCGCGCGTGTCTTCTACAGATTTTCATGGAGCTTCCACCGCCGGTTTTGTTCACGCTCGCTTGGAGGCGTTTCTATGACTGGAGGGATGAAAATTTTACATCAGATCCTGTAATATGGCTGCAGCCGTGAGGCGAACACTTGTTTTACCACCATCTAGCCTTACCAGCAAGGCATCTTGCCCTCTAAGACTCCTATTCTCGCTCCATTTTGGGGATTAAAGGGGTCCGTGTTACTTCACTTGTTCAACAAAATGCCTGGCTATCCGCGGGGTGCTGATACGAAGTATAGTACAGTACTTGTAGATGATCCAAAGCTTCCTCGGCAACGCGGGCAGCAGACCTCCCTAAACCTATGAATTGCTGGGCCCTGTGGCAGGGGAGAGGACAGTGCTCAGAGTGAGAGGGATGTTTTGGTTGGGCTCATTTCTGCGTCGTGCGCAAGCTGGTGTTGAAGAGGGGAAAAAAGGGGGGAGGCTGGCCTATGAAATTAGCTCCTACCTCTGGAGACTGGAGGTGAAGTATTGGCACTGTATTCCTTGTAGCCTTCTACAGTAGAGAGGGTCGGAGACTATTTTCCCATGTTAACGAACAACAGGGATCCAGGCATTCTTTTCTTCTAATAAATTCTCGGAGTCTGATGAGCTCGTGTCCAAAGTCTTAAACTACCGGTAGTGGGTTCTAGCGGCTGCGGACTGAGAACTGCTCACTCACACCTTATGCTCGGGAACTTGAGATCCGTTCTGCGGAACTGCCACGGGAGCGTGCTCGAGTAGTTGCACCTTGCGAGAGGTCGCAACTACCCGAGCACTAGTGACCAGATCCATCCATTGTTAGGCGAGGGAATTCCTCGATAAGCCAGTACAAGGCTCCCAGGATGTCAATCCTCCACCATCGTCACACATACTGTACTCGAGTAGTCCCTGCGTACAGTACTTCGATGTGGTTTGAGCTAATATATCTCCCCCCAATTGAATCAAGATGCCCGGTTAAGAAGTTGCGTTTGTGATAAGCACATGGGGAAGTGACCATAAGGCGCGACCTTGAAATATTTCGTCCAGCATTAGGGGCTCGATGTATGAACAACGCTGCCAATCCTATGCACCAGCAGTCGGGCTGCTGCGATATGAAAGTAGGGCCGTCGTTTTAACAAATCTAAATAGTAGTACCTCGTCTTGCTTTTGGTGATCATTGCGATATCATACCTTTAGAGAACGGCCTGGTTTGACTGCTCATTTCCATAAAAAGTGTGCAAACGCTATGCATTGTGTCACGCTTGACTCCCGAACTTTACGCCCTAAACCTGAATGATCTTCACGCAGCTATAGGCAGCATCACTGGCCAAAGAATTTTTTTTTTTAAAAAAAAAATTCAAATTCCAGAGTATCTAATAAAGTAAAAATGAATAAAAGGGGGAAAGGAAAGGCGTTAGTCACTGAGTCCATTAATTCAATACCGGTATTCACAAGACACCATACTAACGAGAGAGGTCCTCAATGCAAACATGTTTCGTATGAACTTGGATGCTGGTACCAGGGTGACTGTACTCCAGTAGGGTAGCCCATAATTATTCCCAAACGAATGGCTGCTTCTGGTATGCAGCAAAGCGCATCGATTGCAAAAGAGGGGAGGGTCCGTAAATGATTTTCGATTTATTATTTTCTAGAAGGGGTATCTATGGGAGTTTGGCCAGTACGAAGGTGTTCACGGATTGTCCCCTCCATAGGAGCAAGGAGGAATAAGTGGCGTAATTTGTAACACATTATATATGTTGAGAGCGGGTGCCATTCAGTTCCTTTCGAACGAGAAATTTGGCGCGGCTCACTGCCTTAGTAGGTAGCAATTGTTAAGGACGATGTGGGTTGCAATAAGGCTGTGACCCTAGAGAGCATGTAATAAATTGGGTTGGGATCTTTATGCTCAGTGAATGCCACTGCTGTACTCGTACAGTACTAGTACAAGTCTGGGACAGTGACGAACAGATGGAAGCATCTAGCGTTTTTTGGAGGGAGGGAAGCCTAACATCTAGATTTGTTAGCTACTGCACACACACTAGATTTTATGAGCTGGGGAGAAGGAAAACATTATTAAATAAATGGGGATACCGGTCGGGTTGAAACATCATTCGCTGTTTGATAGTAGAGATCGCATTTCCACCATTTTGCAAGGGCATTTTTTTCTGGAATTTAGGGGACTTAAAGGATTGAGTTCGAATAGAGAGAAAACGGAGAGCATGGGGAGGGGGGAGGGGGAGGATTGCTTTTGAAGGCAATAGCCTACTCTGGCATACCGGTATTACTATATACAGATGTTATGGATGGATTATGATATAACAGGTTCTGTGGCGGATGTGTTTGCTGGTACATAGCCACAATGGATTTGACAGGCGCTGCACGAGTGCGCAGTGCCGGTACTGCACGTTCGCTGAGGCTCCATCAGCCGAACCAACCCTGCCAGAGCCGGGCAGATCAGCCAGGGTTGATGAATCAACCCCACTCACCCGGTTCTACTTACGCTGAGATATACACGAATGACCTCAACTCTTCTAGTAAGATTTCATAACTTGGTTGTAGGGTATCAGGGAGTTCTGGCAAAAGCCTAAGTCCAGATTCGTTACATATCTTTTCACCAACAGAAAACAACACGACCCTTAACACTGTTCGCGTCACCTCTGTCCTTTATCACCATCGTCTCCAACCAACCAACCTCACTCAACTTTGTCCTGGTACGGTTGACAGAACCCGTCCTGTACATAGTCAAGCCTTGTGGGTTTGTTTATCTATCCTCGTCAGACCATCTTGCGGCTCTGTTTCCCTAGGGTGTGAGGGGGGCAAGCCTGGTCTTCCAACCTGTTTCTGGGGGTGGGTTGTTTGCTGACGTTTTTCGACGGTAAGGTGTTTTTACGAAATCCAACGGTCCCGCACCGGAGCATCTCTTTTGGGAAGCAACAGGAGTCTAGTCCGACAAGCTCAACGATCTTCCCCGACTTAGAAAAGGATCTCTCCGAGGGGTCTAGAAGGCTAAAGAAACTATCATCAGTCGGCTTCCCCTCTCTATATTCACCGGAGCATAGCACTGACGTGTCTAAAGTGGAAGATTTTAATTCGGAAACGGATAGTGACTATGCCAGCTACTGGCGAGATTGGGTATCCCTCTCTCTTCCCTCCCTCCCGTGCTATTACCTTATGAATGAGTCCCTTATGGGACGCTCTTTTTCGGAACAAACATTGACTAGACCGATAGTTCATCTCTACGCGCGGCCATGAATATTTTTGCGAAATCGACGAGGAATACCTGACTGATCGCTTCAACTTGACTGGACTGCAATCAGAAGTGCAATACTATCAGTATGCATTGGACCTGGTCACTGACCAATTCGATTTTGAGTGTGAAGACGATATGAGAGAGCAGATTGAGAAGTCAGCTAGACACCTTTATGGCTTGGTTCATGCGAGATATATCATCACAACGCGTGGACTCGCCAAGATGGTAGTAAAACACTCATATCCAGATTTTGTGCATTTCTGACTGATGATTATAGTTGGAGAAGTACAAAAAGTGCGATTTTGGCCGTTGCCCCAGAGTTCTCTGTCGCTCACACCCTCTGCTGCCATTGGGCCTCTCAGACTTGCCCCACCAAAAGCCCGTCAAACTTTATTGTGCGAAATGCGAGGACGTATACTCTCCAAAGTCCTCTCGTCACGGAGCGATTGATGGTGCCTATTTTGGAGCATCATTTCCACATATCCTTTTCCAAGTTTACCCAGGATTAATCCCTCCCAAGAGCAATGAGCGTTATACACCAAGGTGTTTTGGGTTCAAAACGCATGCTCAAGCTGCTTTAAGCAGGTGGCAGGAAGGGGAGCGAGAAGCTCAGGACGCTCGACTTGAGAAGGCTGGGGTTGAGGTGAGGAGGGTTGATGGGGAGGAGGACGAGGACGAGGATGAAGAGGTGGCGGAGGCATAACTCGATCTAGAAGCGTGGATGGAGTTATAGTGTTATCGATGGAAAGAGGCATTGCCCATTCGTTGGGGAAAGGTGTTAGCTAGTTGCGTTTTTCAATTTTCAACTGCTTGCTTCCGTGGGTCCTGTATGTTGGGGGGCGTTTCTTTGGGTTCATATCATTCGTCTACTAAACACTTTCAGATACCGGCGTATTACGTCCAGGGTACGATTGTATCATTTTAAGGCTTGCTAGATTCTTTCGCCGGCTATAAAGGGCTTATCAATACCATGACACAAATTACCAGACACATCCGCAGATGACGTTCCAACCTTGTAGCGAATGAGCCAGTGAAGCCTTAAAGTATTGTGTCAGGGTGAAATACACTAATGGTAGGCTGGGATTTAACCTGGCATCTTTCCCACTGATTGTCATGCTTTTATAATGCGAGGTGGAGGTGGAGAATACTGTATGGATTGCCCGGAGGGGAACGTCTGGGAGATGCTGGAGTGTAGTAACCTGCTACTCCAATATTATCACCGCAATATTATCACCACCAATGCCAATGATACAATAACTTAGGAGCCCTGTGCGATAACTCTCTTAGAGCGAGTTTCTTTGTATGAACACGGCTTGAAGGTGCAGTACGGTATGTGCTACTTGAATCTATAATCAAGATCTAAATTCTAAATTCGCTAAAAAATTAAAAAATTAAAAAAAGGTATGATACTTTACTATGCGACAGAATAGCACAAAGGCCGAGCAGAGTATAAATGAGTGTGGTACGGTAGGCCTACAGGGAAGCGAGGAAGCGGGTCTGCAAAGAAAGACACAATGAACGGGCAGAATGGGAGTACCTGCTCTATTAAGTATAGATTACTATAGTATAGATTACCATAATGAGAATGGTGAAATTTCATTATCCTTTTCCTAAAGTTTCAGGCCAGTAGGATTCACTAGATGAAGATCCACATCAGCATAGAAACAGATTGATCAAATCAGGTGTTCAACTTGCAACGGTCACTGTTACACTGTGGAACCGTGTCCTGTACCTTCTGCCCCATGATAAACTGGCTGTTCCTCAAACAATCTGGGCAAAGGGAGACCCAGAGGTTTTTGATATAAAACTGGAGCCAAACTAGTAGGGGAAAGAGAAAAAGGAACTTGAAAAGAGAGACCAAGTTAAGATATAGGGGGGTTTTCTTTGGCAATAATTTTACTATTTACCTAACATATTACTATAATGCCAGTGACAGCTGGCATTATCAGATACTTTGTGCTCAGAGTTTTATACTTTATGGAATATATGAAGGGCATGTTCCAAATTATAAAATTCGTGTTGGAGTATCTTTATTCAGGGACAGAGTTGGTTAAGAAGAGACCAAGACAATGGTGTTAAATTTTGTTAGTCATAAACAAGGACATGATGATACCTTGTTGCTCACTAGTAGGAAGAATACAAAATATTCTTGAAGATACCTGTTCCACTCAGGACCAAAACCGCCAATTAAAGAAAATGCAACAAAAAGGATAAAAATATAACAGAAAAAAAATACTTGCTACTTACAGAAGAAGTTGAAACCCTTAGAAGAGTTAAATGAGACTGCTAGCTATTGATGACTCTGCTATTCGGTCTCTCATTTACCAATACAGTTATAGGATAAAACAGGCAATAAAAAACACTAAATTAGGAGTTTTATATGTTTACTTAATGGATTTCACTGTCATTATAAGATGAAAAATAAAAATACTATTACTACCCTTCTACTGCTATCCCTTATTTCTCATTCTTTTCCTACTTGAGTGGAAGTAATGTTTCTTACAAATAATATTACATTTAGGAGATAAATGCATTACTGTTTCAAATCTTTCTTTATTCTATTTTTTAGAGAAGAATAAATATTGCTCCCTAAGTCCTTAAGTTCCACTTTTACGATTGGTTTTGATGAAGAAGTTGGCATTCGTTGTTAGCGCAATTTTTTGTTTTTGCTTTCTTCTTTCTTCTTCTTTTCTGTTATACCTAAGTTACTGTTTTTGTTTCTGGGGTATATCGGATTTGTTGCGTACTTGGAGGACTGTATGTTTTGGGGACATTAGACAAGCGTTTAGACATATACTTTATGCCTTTATGTCTTTATATCATAACTTAGATTGCACACAACAGGTGAGCTCTGATCCTGTATCTAAGTGAACCTCCCGGAATTAACAAAAGAATGCAAAAAAACAAAACATATATCATACTATATGAATACTAGGGAACGGGGAGTTTGAGACTCTTTGACACAAGATGGTTCTAGCATTCGAACCCCCGAAGTCTGGCTGCAACCGGCTGTATACCTTGGAGCCTTTCAGGCATGCCAAGACAACAGCCAGGCCCGGGGTCACATTTGAGTCTAAAACAGGCATGAAACAAAAGAGGGTAATTTGTAGAGTTCTTGCTGCGCGCACTCGGTCGGGGACCCAGGTCCGCACTCGACTCCAAGCGGAGGAAGGAAAAAAAAAACAGATCTGGAGTTTCAGCCTCTCTCATTCATTCTTCGCACCTCTCTTTCCCATCCAACTCTGTCTTCCCCGCTTCACCCCACCTTGCGGACAAAATTCTACGTGTTAAAAGCCTGGAGGCATCGACGAGGGAAAAAAGGAAAGACGACGATAACAACGACGGTCATAAATACTGAGGGTAGCCTCTCTCGTCGAGGTATCCAGCTTTTCATCTTCAGACATTCTAACAGAGCATCCCGGTCCTACCTTTTGCTCTCTCCCCTCCACAATTTCTATGGCCGCGAAAGTGCCAGTGCCAAATTCATGGGATGATGAATGGGAGAATCAACCGACCAAGTTACCTATGGTATCCTCGTTCCCTCCCTTTCGAATTACGTATGCGCGCGAGAAACCCAGCTAATAGATTCCTCGCGGAAGACAAATAACCCATCAACAGTTGTGACCGGAATCCTCCGGTCCGATGCAGTGGAATTCGCCCCGACTCAACCCCTCTACATCCCCGCTTCCTCACAGCCAAAAACGTTCTTTAAACCGGACCTGAAAATCCTCAAGCGCGCATCTTCACCAAACTCTTCTACCGCGATGGCCGATGCGCCGAAAGTATTGATGGAGAAACCCCGATCGCAAGAGCAAGAGACAGAGCAAGAACGTAGGGAACGGGAGCTCAAGGAGCGGGAGCGCCGGTATCAGGAGACCCGCGATAAGATCTTTGCTTCACCAGCGCCTGTAGCAAAGCCCAGGCGTAGATTCCCGTCTCCCTCCAGGACTGCGCCTGCCAGGAATGCGCCGGCACCGACGAGTAGAGGTAATCGGAAATCGAATAAAACCGGGGGAAAAGGTGGAGATGGGGGAGGTGGGGCTATCACCTCACTCTCCCTTAACGGCGGAGATTTTACCATGGCGCCTCCACCACCGAAAATTTGGGAGATTGACGAGAAGATGCTGGAGTCACAGTTGGCGATCATGAGTGAGTCTATGGCTGCGGCAGCTACTATGGTTAAAGATGGGGAGGGGGTGGAGGAACGCCTTTTTGAATGGGATTCTTTCGAGAGGGGTGGTTGGCGTCCATGCGATGATCCATCCGTGGTTCCCCAGTACAATAATAATCAGGGACCAACTCCTCCACCACCGGCGGTCCTGGCACAGGATAAACGCCCAGGCGTACTCCGCGCGCCTAGAGGGCCGGATACGGATGGTGGAAAGGGATTTAAAGGAAGAGGACGAGCTCGGGATGTTAAAGAGTTTGTTCCAGGAAATACTTGGGGACAATGAAAAACTGCAGTTTTCTTTCCTTTCTTTTTTCTTTTCCTCTTGATTATCTTAATGTGGGCCCTTTCCTTTCCTTCCAATTGATTTAAATTTTCTTTTCCTTCCTCTTATGGGTGCTTTCTTTGTATCTCCTCTATCTCCTGGATCTTACCTCTTTTTTTTCCTCAGACTTCTTAAATCTCATGTACGAGCCGGGGGAAACGGACTCGGGATTACCGTACACAAATGGGTTATTTTGTTTGTTTTGCTTTTTCCCACCTTAAATCACCGTTCAAGTTACAACCATGCACAAAACCAATCACGATTACCAAAATCGATGGATGCATGGACAACAAAAACAACAACTTAAGTTAAGTTAAATGCAAAAAAAGATCATCACTTGTTCGTTTATGAAAGTGCAGTTTGCCTTCTTTTACCGGTATGTTATGCAGGATGTTGAACCCGCCTTCGGGGACACCGGTTATTATTACAAGTTATAGTAACCTGCCCTGTCGTGTCGCAATACTCGAGTAGGAGCGCGTAGTGCAATAGGGTGGATTGTCAGCCTTATCTTCATTGCACTAGCTACGAGTGATGACCTATGATAAAAAACAACGTTCTAACAAGGCTACGGAAGTATTCCGTCCTTCTTCCCCTCCCCCTCCCCTTCTTTTACTGTATGTGGGCCCAGAGAAGAGGGGTGCATAACTGACTTAACAGCTATTTTATCCATGCTGCCGGCCTGGTTTAAGTGGATGGCAAATGAGCCAGCTCCGTTTCCTTTCACTCCTCTACCACCACTGATGGATATGTTGAGCTAAGCTGAAGCAGTTGAGCCCCAATAGCCTTATCATTGACAACACTACATTCTGTCGCCACGAAGGGGGGGAGGGATGATACCCCACTTGTTCCACACCCTGAAGGGGGGAAAGGAGAAAAAGAAAGAAGGATGAGGCTTTGGGTTACTCCTCTGCTGTACCTTGGCTCTCTTGGGGACCACACTTGACCGCACCAGCTTGCTATGCCGGCGCCGGCAGAAGGAGGGAGGAGTGAGTTATCAAGCTTAGAGGTAGCTGTAGGATTGGGGATATGAGCATGCATGCTCGGGTGAGCTGTAAGTACTCATGTTGTGGAGTCTCTCGTTTTGGTGGTGATGCACTAGGTTGGAAGCGCTACGTGAGTAGAGCTAGGCTCTGACTGGGAGTTTGTGTAGCCTGATGAAGTCTTGGCTTCTATTGGTTGGTGCGGGTATACTACTAGGTCTGCTTTTGGTTGGGCGGTGTAGAGCAGAGATATGATAGGATGGTTACATTTCGAGGTTTCGTTCGAAGCACTCGCGATCGGAGGGCACTGAGCACGCGGGCACTTGCCTGCCCCAGGCAGAAAGAAAGTGATGATTTGTTCACATCCCGTGATGATCTACTGGGAAGGGGCGGTCTCAGGATCTGCGGTTGTCATATTTCGTCCTCCAAGTGGTGAAGATCTATGGTGCCCGGTAGCCCTTCTCCGGATACCCCCCCTTCCTATCCGGCATTTCTGCTGGCCTAACGGTAGGCCTTGACGCGCCTGAGAAAAATTACTTGCCCGCTCCGCCTCTTGCGGCCAATGGATGGAAAGTGCTCGTGCACCCCGCCAGATCCAGCGGTGCTTTGTTCTAAGTCGTCACCATTACAAACGCCTTATTATACTACACTTTTTGGACAGATCTTTACGGCAAGGTTCTGTGGGTTTTGCTTTGCGCCTAGAAAGCCTTGGCTGAAAGTTGCCGAAAGGGGAAGAAGGCGCGGGAATAGCGGGTAGCGGGTGAATGAGGTGACGTGAACCTTAATTTTTCAGGATTATGATACGGTATTTAGGGAGAAAGTGTCGATGTAGGAACTGTGCACCAGGCTGCGGGAGGTGAGTTCGGTGTACTTGTAGTACTATATGTTCACTGTTATACCTGGTGCGGGGGCATACACCTTGGTGGGGATCAGGTTGGTGGGGCGTAATGGCAAAGCGGTGCGCTGTTTGAACACTCGAAACATTCCGATAGTCACAAAAAACTAGTTGTACAACCTCACAGGGTTTGCATTTTCCGCGGTATCATATTATCATACATTTTCCACCGGCGTCGGAGTTCTCGGACTTCCAGCAGTCTCTATCAGGTGTTCCGGCGAGGGTGCAATATGAGAACTTGGACCGCAATATGCTCAAAACCTAAAAAAATTCTGCACGAAAACGCTTGTGCTAGGGAGAGCGTGCTCGAGCGCACAGAATGATCTGCTCGACACACCGCAAAAGTAAATGGGTCCCGATATCGTGCACGATTTCTGCTTCCTATCCAATCAGCCATGACATCCCCCGTACCACCGGAACGAACCGGTGCGAACACCGCGCACTCTCACGGCACTTTGTCACCGAGAGTCGTCATAAGAGTAATCACCCGGGGCTTTCCCGAAGTGCATGTACTGTACGCAAACTTCCCGATTACCGACCCCGATTTCCCTTTCTGCCCTCGAAGGTGCACAGGTCGCGCTACGTGCGATATTACATACATCAACAACCTCCCCCACCACACAACCTGACAAATATAAAGTCCCCCCCTCCCCACCAAACAAATTATTTTTTTCTAGAAACACAATCGCATCATCGCGTGTTCACACAGTCGACAGCTCACAAACAGGCCCAGTTACCGCTTCAACCGTATCATACGCGATGCTCCAGCCAGCCCTGGGGCCGCTTCGCATTTTGCATTTTGGATGTCACAAATGGGGGAAATTTCTCCGGTAGTCTGACTGACTGACTGACTGACTGACTGAGTGGGTGACAGCGCACGCGGCTTCTGCTGCCGTTGAGAGAATTATACCAGGTGTGTACGGGGTGTTTTTCTTCTTCTTTGGGCTTGGGTGTGTGTATATCATACGACTTGCGAGGGGTTGGTGATAATGCCTCAGTACCTTGACAGATTTGGAACCAGGAATTAGGCTGGGTGGAGGGGGGATTTTTTTGTTTGCTTTTTGGTGGCTCTTGTTTTCTTCCGGTCTGATCTTTTTCGAGTGGTTGTTGACTTATATCCTAGCTGCTATCGTCTCTCTGGGGGATGTTGAAGCGGGTTGTGGTGGGGATGGGAGTGCCAGACCCATCACCGTTATCACTCGTGGACAACATTTGCGCGAGTGACTGGGTGTGCACTGTGTCGTCCTTGAGCGGGGTGCGATGGCTGGTATAGCTTCTGGATTCTGATTTGTGAATGGGTGTGCGGATAGCCTTATACGTCTGCAGCTATCTTGCTGCTACCACTTCGGGTTTGTAGGTTGGGGGGAGCTTTCTAGCTTACTATGATTTACTAGGGCTGACGGCTCAACCCGTGGTTTTCTCAGGTAGCTCAGGTTCCAAGTAGTTTTCAACAAAATTCCATTGATATAAACTACCATACAAATAACTAGACGCGCAGGTTATTTCAACAATGGGTAATGGCAAATAAATGAAGCACCCCCCAGAGCTCGTATGGTACTTTGGGTGCGTTGAGAGATGTTTTTTTAATTAATCAGTTTTAGACTTTAGTTTTTTTAGGCGGGGGTAATTTCGCTTCTGGCTTACTAGGTTAATAACCCCGAGATGTGCGGGAGAGCTAAATCTATTTGGGAGAGATAGAGCTACTGGAAGGTGGAAAGGAAGGAGGGGGAGGGGGAGGGGGAGATGGCGGAGGGGCCTCCAGGGGGGGTGGCGGAGGACGAAACTGAGAATGCAATCCGTTGTCAAGACGCTCCTTTATAGTCTGGTGAAACCCTGGATGACCCGGGATAGGGGGATAAACCTGGGGGTGAAGGGGGTGAGAGCTATTCGAGAGTTGCTGCGCAAGGTGGGTGTTAGGTTAGATTATAAATTTCGGTGGACTGGTATGATATCCTTACCTGAGATTGTGGCCCACCATGATAGGCCGCGTGGTTTTTTGAAGGGATATGATTCTGGAAACCGTGTGGGTTACTATGAGTCACCTGTCTGTCTCCCTCATAGCCCTGAGAATCCCCAAAGCTGCCATATTCGCTGGGGTATTTCTGTAGAGAGATATTGCTGCTGGCCCCAAATTCCATCTCAGCGCCGGTGCCTCTCTCTCTGGATCCGATATTATCGGGGGGACCATTGGATGCGAGCGGGTTACGCGAGTTACTGTTTCCGCTATTTTGGAATTGACCCATGCCTCCCGAGCCCCCGTTTGCACTTCCTACTTGTGTCCATGGGCGAGCTTGGCCCCAAGGGGCTTGATAGCTTTTAGGGATGGGATTCTCTCTGATCTCATGAGGTTTGATGAAAGATGTACTTGGCCGTCGCCACGGGGGTTCGGCAGCGGTTGAACTAGGCTCCGATGACTTGACTAGGGTCCCGCCTGCCTGTTTCCACGGGGCTTGGGCAGACCCCAATTCCCTCCCTTGGCTGTTATCACCACCAGCTTGATGAAGGTTTGCCTCAGTAGGAGCGGTTGCAATTTCCCCAGCAGCAGGTTCTGCATCTCCTAGGACATCTCGTATAAATTCCTGTTGGAATGTTTAGTGCCTGCGCTGTTAAAGGGTATCAACAATGGGGTGGTGGAGAAAAACATCATATTCTTGGTCTCGAGGATTGGAATTGGAAGGTTTCCCCTGCCAACCTTGACCTTTCGGGCGGTCTAAGCAGTCTCGGCCGAAATGCCCCCCGTTACCACAGACCCTGCAAATTATCCCTGCTGTGTAGTTGGTCTCTTTGGGACAGTCGTATCTTCGGTGACCAACCTCACCGCCTAGAAAATTCTCTCAGCCAGAGTTTGCAGATTGAGGTGAGAATTACGACTAATTAGAACTTACAATTTGAGCACGTCTTTCCTTCATCATCGCGTAAGGTCCCGTTCAAGGTAGCCAATTCCCTGAGCTGGTTACGCTTGAGTGCGTTCATGGTTTCGGGTGTCGACGCAGCCTGAAAACATTGTCAAGAACAATACAAGGATTGTGAGGGAGAGGAGCTACTCACAGTCTCGATAATCTCGTTAATCATTTCCCTGGCTTTGACGGTAGAGGCCGGGTTGGGTGATATGATGAGACAATGCAAGTTTTCGTCCTGGTCAGATGTCACGGCGAGATCACTCCTTGCTTTCCCCTCTTTGATAGAGCCTTTGCCGCGAATGGCAACTTTAGCCCCGGACTCTCTCTCGATACGCTTGAGAGTATGTCCACGGGGACCAATGAGCAAGCCAACTAGCAGAATCACGAGCACAGGCGTGCTCAAGATGTTAGTTTGTGCTGTTTTCTGTACGTCTTAAATACGGAATTCGCTTGATTAGTAGGGGTTAGAAAATAGTTACTAAAGTTAATCTCTGGATAGTCATCGACAGGTACATAGACCTTTTCATGCTTGTTGACAGGTCTTCTATATTGACTAGGAGGCTTGTATTGCGGATCCATTTGTGAAACCTTTGCCACCAAGTCATGACGCTCAGCTTCTAGACGCTCTCGGTATCTGGTCTCTCTAACATTTATGCGACGACCGGTCGTGTCATAAATAGGGTCCGGAGAGAGAGATCTAGGTACTTGAGTTAGTGTGGCAGGTTAATGAATGTTGATATAAAGTCAGTAGGTCAAACCGTTTGTCATTTGGCACAATCATATTAGTAGTAAGCTTCTGAGTGATCTCCTCGATGCGTACTTTACGTACATACATCTCGGTATCCTCAAGACTCATACACACTGGAATTGAAGCAGGCAGGTTGTCAACGCTAATAGTGCTCTTGATTGACTCGCTTCCCCAACGAGACTTGGGATGAGTCCGGGCTGAGATTCATATGATGGTTAGGCAATGAGGGCATCGTATTGCGGGGGGGGGTTAGTTACCAGAGCTGTGACGTAGTCTTTGTCGTCCCCTAGGAATGTCATCAATATCTGCCTGTTTCAGATTGGCAGAAGATGCATCACTAAGAGTTCTGGCCATTTTTGTAGGTGCAGCTTCCACAACACCATTCCCAATATCGAGTGAGCTCCCGGATGTTTCTTGATCAGAGCTAACAGTGGCTAGGGAGGTTTTGTTTTCGTCTGTGTTCATGAGGGCAGCAAGACGACGTTTTCTCCCGATTGGGATTGAATTCGTCCCCGTAGTAGTACGGGTGTCGTTGGCCCACATTATGAGAGCAAGATATTCTCTTGTGTGCCTGGGCTGAGTGTGTTGCCGGTAAGGGTTGAGTGGGGTGGTGAGTGGGGACCGTGGAGGAGGGGGAATAAATAGGAGGGGGGGGGAAGCTAGAAGGCTCATCTATTAATAGGGCCAAGCGTGATGGCTGTCTATGGGTCTGAGTTTTAGAAAAGGTTGTAAGACTTTGGGCAATAGGGTTTATGATCTTATCACCTCAGATGAGGCGCTATGCTGGTGTTCGTGTTCCTATGTTAGGGCCGGGCCATGCGTAGGGTTTTGTTGATTATGAACACTCACTACAGTAGTGTTCACGGAGGTCTGGGGGAACTGGCGGCCCAACGGGGGGAATGCAGAGAAGAGTAGACTAGACGGGACCGCAATTGACAGTCTTTCTGGTCGCGCGACTTTTGAGGGCGGCAGGTTTTGGTAAGGACTATGGGTCGATATGGCAAGACATTATTTGTAGTCCTCCTGCAAGGATGGTAGTGATGGTAGCGGACTGCAATATTCTCCCAGGGACTATGGGGATCGGTCCCATAATGCTCTAGAGAGTACTCGTTGTATAGTTTTTTGCGCTCCAAAACATGCACGACACTTTTGAGTGGGGTTGAACTGAGAGTGGAGCTGTCTAGAGAATATATATATCTAAAAAAAGAGCCCCTTTATGAGATAAAGAGAGCGAGAGAGAGCTAGAGTTTTCTCCAAGTAATAGAGGTTCTTGTGGGCCCATTATCAGGGTTTGGGGAGGCATTTTTGGTATAGGATGGAAAAAAGTGTCCAGCAGACCGCATTCTTTATGTATGAAATAATATTATTATGATAATAATTATTATCTCAATTCTCGAGCAATTATTACTAAGCACATTTTTAATTAAAATTGCATTTGATCTGTGCCCTAAATGTCCTGCAACCGTTTTGCATGTGACCGTGACCGTGTTGGGTGTTTCGCTAGATCACGTGGATACTCGTAACTCATTTAAGGCTCTGCGGCGAAACTACAAAGTTTGTCAGAAACACAAATTAATCACCTCCGACAATTGAGGCTTCCCCTTGATCTTCACCACCCCGCCATTCCGTAAAATTCATCTGAAGATGTCTTCTGCAATATTTCGCTCGTCTTCTCCATTGGTTCAAATTATCGCCCGACAGCCATCGACGGCTATCGCCTACCGATCCATTTCCATCCTAACCCGACCTCTCACCCCCGGTTCTTTGCAAACCACGCAAGTCTTAGGGCAGAAGAAAAACATATCCTCCTCAACTGCCACACTAGCTCCACCTCAAAATCAACCAATATTTAGTGCACCTCCTGGTCACGGTCCTTCCGGCGGATTTTTTAGGAAGGAAAGTCTTCCCGCTAACACTATTATTCGGTAAGCATCCTACGTCATTCGTTTTTACCCTCCAAACTCGCTGACAAAGTGCAAGGTTTGTCCCACAGCAGACAGCATGGATTGTAGAACGAATGGGGAAGTTTCATCGGATTCTCGACCCTGGGCTGGCCATATTGTGGCCAATTATTGACAAAATCAAGTACGTCAAGAGCTTGAAGGAAGCTGCTATCGAGATCCCGAGCCAAAGCGCTATTACCGCCGATAACGTCACACTAGAGATGGATGTGAGTGTAAAATTTTGCAAGCTTATTTCTCAGCTAACAAGAGAAAATGTAGGGTGTGTTATACATTCGAGTATTCGACGCCTACAAAGCTAGGTGAGTCTTATCTTCACTATCTATCTAAACTTTCATGGCTAATAGTTTTCCCCTACTTTTTTTTTTTAAAAAAAGCTATGGTGTTGAAGATGCCGAATTTGCTATTTCACAACTTGCACAGACAACTATGCGTTCAGAAATCGGTCAGCTTACTCTTGACCACGTCCTTAAGGAGCGTGCTGCCTTAAACATTAACATTACCCACGCTATCAATGAAGCATCTGCCGAGTGGGGTCTTGTATGCCTTCGTTATGAGATCAGGGATATTCATGCCCCAAACCCTGTTCTCCAGGTATTTACCCCTCGGGAATATCGCTAACTTCTATGCTAACAGACATTAGGCAATGCATCGCATGGTATCGGCAGAGCGAAGCAAACGTGCCGAAATTCTCGAATCAGAAGGTCAACGTCAGTCCGCTATCAACGTAGCCGAGGGGAAGAAACAATCCGTCATCTTAGCCTCTGAAGCCAAAAAAGCTGAGCAAATAAATTTCGCAGCTGGAGAAGCTCAAGCGATCCTTATGAAAGCCGACGCCACAGCCCGCGGTATTGAAGCTGTTGCTAAAGCTATCAGGGAGAACAAGGAAGCTGCGCAGGGGGCTGTTAGTCTGAGCGTTGCTGAGAAATATGTGGAAGCATTTGGTCAACTTGCAAAGCAGAGCAATACAGTTGTTGTGCCAGCTCAGCTCGGAGATCTCGGTGGTATGATCGCCGGAGCTATGGGAATTTATGGTAAGGTGGCTGAGACTCAAGCGAGTCAACAGAAAATGCTTGGGGCGCAGCTAGAGGGAGTAAAGGCCGGTCGTGGGAATTAGGTCGGCTCTTAGGGAGTTCACGTTGGAAAGGAGGTCTTGGATGCTTTCGATATATATAGGCGTTGATCCTCCGGTGGGATAGTAGGCGATGGGCGATTTGGGGTGCGTAGGCACCGAGCTGGTTTTACTAATTTGGCTCCTCTCTTTATTTGTTCGGGCTTGCATGAGATCTCTGCTCTTTCTGATACGGAATCAAGTCCCTTTAATGCATTAAATAGATGGATGATGAAGGTGGTAATAAAAAATAATCCCAATTATGTGATCTCTCCTCGCCCTGTTACTTTCAAGTCTCCTATGGATTCTTTTCCAGTCTTGATAAAATGGTGTCTGCTCGCCGTGACGTTGATTTCGCGAATTCATTGGTAGGCATGGAGATGATGTTTGTTGGGCGGTTCGTTGCCAACCTCCTCTGGCAACGTCTGGTGTTTTTTTGTTTTGTATGTCTTATAGAGGGGCTGGGTAACTTTTTTTTGCAATGTTTTTCTCCCCTTTTCCAAAGTAGGGGATTCCTGGACTACGTAGCACATACGGTACTTGGATTCTTCCAATTTTTTGCGGGTACCGCAAGAGGAGCAGGTCTAATATCCTCTCTTTGTTGCGTCAGATTTGTTGGTAAGTGGTCTTGTTGTATTGTATTGTATTGTATTGTATTGTATTGCAGCCCCAGAGGTTTAGCAGCATCGCGAGCGAGTATTTGCTGTCGAGGCGCGAGCTACTATAGTAATATAATAACTGCACCTAAAGCTATTAGCGAATAAGGTTTTCCGCAACGCATATCTGCTGAGGGAATAGTGGTAACGAAGGAATGTTGAGCGCCCCCGCTAAATACAGCATTCGGTCTGGTTCGTTTTTGTCAACGATGTCAGCTTGGCTGCCCCGGGCCCACAACGTTGATGTCCTTTCTCCTAATGGTGACTCTATTCGAGTATGATGGCACCATATATTAATACTTTCTCGCGCAAGGTAAGTCGAGTATATAAACGGATTACCCGGATGTTTATTTCTTGAAATTTTTTCATTTTCTCCCTCATTAGTTCATTCTGAGTATGACGCTCCTAGAACGAGACATTAACCTTTTCGGCGCATGATGTGCGTGCTGGAAGTGCCTAGAGACATCTCGGGTATTCCACCTCTTACCTGATACGATATTTGGTGCGCTCTAGTCTCGGTAACTTGCTGAACAGCCGTTGGTGTCACCAAACTGCGAGTGACGGTCTATGATCATCACTCCTTCTTAACTTTGGGATATCATATGGTACCTCCCCCCTCTCCATAAGAGTCCGGGCCCGCCTTCCTATTTCCCCATCTAGTAATCCTTCATAGGGCGCTGGGGTCTTTGGGCTCCGTGATTGAGCCTGGTCTATCGTACCTTGGTGGATGGGCTAATATCCCTCTTTGTTTTCAAGCCCGCTCTGGAGTACGCCGAGACCCTGTCCGTGACTGTCTGTGGGTTTTGAATTTTGGAGGGATTTGATAGTTGAGATGTTTTAGTATGGATAATGACGATTGGCCTGGAGATATGGGGGGGGTTGCATGGTATGTTGGGGGGGTTTATGGGAGAAGAACGAACATATATTTGGTCTCAATGAAGATGGAGGCTGAAGAGACTTACTGGGGGTTGTTTCTCGCTGGAAGTGAAGCGTTAAATTAAAGCCGGTATGGAAAATCTTTGTGGAGATATTCCACCGTTTAGTTATCTGAACTTCCTAAGAGCTCCTAAAAGGTGAGAGGGGCTTGTGCAATTAAGGAGAGCAGCCCAGTATCTCTCTCGCGGGATCCTTAAGAATTAATTCACCTTTTGGGGGTGCGCTTTATGTTGGGGTTTTTGGTGCCTTGGTTTGGATTTGGGCCCGGAGATGCTATGATACGTATCATAGAGCGTTATTTTTGATACCCGTGCAGTGTGCCACTTTTTGCGCTTTCCATCACCCCGCCCAGGCACATGGCCGCAGAACCACATTTGGTAGCCCGAATTTGCCCACCGCATGGTAGTATTTGTTCGGCATTGGATACCCGATGCCCTAGTCATAATGGGCAATTCTGTGCGGTTCCAGCACAGGCAACTGCTACCGGCTGCAAGATGATGATGGAGTGGGATAGCGATGGGGCAGAATTTTCAAGTGCTTGTGCTAGAGTTGCTGGACCCAAGGGCGTGGAAGCGCAGATTTTCTTCGAGAGCTTTAAGCAAGAATAGGCCTTTCCCGTCTGAGTATCTGCATGGCTGCCATACCCACCCATGGGTGTGATATGCATTGGTACCAGCACGTGTACGGTACAAACTGCGGGCTGGAGGTGGTTGGATGTAGTTAGAGATTGAGCTATGCTGAGGTACGATATCCGAGTGAGCTGTAAACGATGGAGCCGGGAAGGCAATCTGGGGGCTATATGGGGAGCCCGAGCTTGAGACTTCGATCGGCGCTTGATGGAAACTGGGTGATAGGGTATTTTATGAGGTTCTAGGCTTTCCCCGGAGTTTGCATGGTTATTGTTGGTGAAGTTTTTTTTCTCAGCCTTGGTGATATCAAGATCCTAGCCGGGAATTTATTAGACGAAGTACGGTACTCACACCAAAGAAATCGGTCCCAGGAGCTATCCAAGGAATCAAAGTTGCACCGCCGGATAACGGACTGGCAAATTCTTGGAATGTCTTGCTCCATATTTTCGCAGTTCTGTTCTTGGTCCGACTATCCCACATCGGGCTTGCTCCCATATATCTAAAGCTGACCTTCAGCACCAGCTTCGGTATCTATGTAAGTTGCACCCCTGAATCACCCTTGATTCACTATACCGGTATCTCCATGCTAAAAAAAATTGTATACAGAATCTCGTCCACTTCGACCATGCGATCCTAAAAGTCTTCAACCCAGCCTACCCATAAGGGTTTCGCCGCGATAGTCAGAAATGCTACGAGGTAATTCTTCCTGCTTTCATTGGTGTCGAGGCAATCTAGATAGGCCGGGGAACCTTCTCGGCCCGTTCGGTCGGTCCCACATGGAACTGCTTCGTCTACTCTTGCTTACTCCTGAGGATAGATCGCACTGGCGGTATACATCAGCAAAATTCCCGAAGCTGTACCCAATCTATTTTTTCGATACTTTGACGAGTTTACTCCATTCGATTCCGGTCAGCTATCGTGGGTAATCGGGTCATGATTACTGGTTCTTTTCAGTTTTCCTACATACTCAAGTATTTCTCATAATGTCTGGGGGGTTGACATGTGCCGAGCGGGGCCTTAATCATTTTTTGCCTTTATTGTAGGGGTTTGGTTCGGGCGCTGTATGACTATGTACGGTATGGTTGTTACAGCAAGTTGCTTTTCCATGCGCTGACATCCTAAATTTATTCATGCCGCCGGATTGGCGTTGTGTCTTCTTTTGCTTTTTCTTAGGTAGAGAAACACAAAAAGCGGCACACTTCCATCGGGCAACATGAGTGGGGTGGAAAAGACAATTTACTTCAAATCGTCACGGCCAATGTTTCTCCGAATGCAGGAGACAATAATTCACTTCATGCGGTGGACCGCGATATTGCTTTCAAGGTTGAAAACAATAATTTACAGCTGGTGAATAAGATACTATTTTTGTTTCCTTCTTCCCATGAAGAATTCTTTGTGGGGTAGTCTAGCGGGGGCACGATTATCGCTACACAAAGTTTTTCTTCAGTCCTCATGCACCTCAATACTCGAGTAGATTGGGTTTTGCCGGGTCAGCTGGGTCGTGCGGGGTTAATCGAACAGTGGAATTTTAAACCGACAATTTTATGTATGATAGATACCATCTCTAGAGAAGGGTAATTTAGTCACCACGCTCCCCAACCTTTCTATTTCTTTTCATTCTTCCTCACCTAGTCGAGAATTACCTTTGCGGATATTAGAGAACACGCCGAATTCCCCTATCGATATAACACGCTTTCCCGCAATTCAAGCATCAATCGATAAGATGGGCAATGTACCGTCAAATTCCCCTTCCGGAGCACCACAGCAAGGGTATGCTCTGGGGGTGTCGCTTGCACATATGGTGTTTCTAATTATTAGCCACGGCTCTAGCTCTACGTCCAACAGCAATATTCAAGGCGATCACAGCGGAAATACTGATTCTAATAACACCACCTACAATAATTATTGCAGCCACGGGGAAACGAGCTATCGAGAAATTTTGCAACACTTATACACGTCTGAGTACAAGGCACACTGGCGCCGCGTTCGGGAACCGGTCGAGGGAACATGCTCTTGGGTTACCGAACATCCAAGGTATAAGGACTGGTTGGGGAAGGAAACTTCGGGCCTCCTCTGGTTATCGGCAGACCCAGGCTGCGGAAAATCGGTCATCGCTTCATTCCTTGTAACGCATTTGAAAAGCCGAACGGACGCCATCGTTTGCTATTTCTTTTTCAAGGACGACAGCAAGGAACAGAGGAGCGCAACATTTGCTCTTTGCGCCATACTGCATCAGCTTTTTGTGCAGAGGGAGTCACTCTGGATATATGCCAAGGAAGCGTTTACGGTCAAGGGCAAGAGGTTTGCGGAGGAGGTGGACACCTTGTGGGAGATTTTGGTCAAGGCGGTATCTGAGGGTGGATGCGGCGATGTGATTTGCGTAGTTGACGCCCTGGACGAGTGCGAAGAAGTGACCATAGCCCCGCTTATTCGTTATGTAACCCGGCTTCCTGAATCACGAACTTCCGATGTGCCTTTGAAATTCTTTGTTACGGGTCGCCCATACCACAGAATCGAGAGAGAACTTGACTCACGGGCAACGACTATCCGGCTGAAAGGCGAGGACGAAGTCAGTTCTATCACTACTGACGTTAACCGAGTCATAGATGATGGGGTCAAGGAACTCGAGTTAGTCTGGGAAAATCCCGGAGGACTGGGCTATTTGCGTGATCTCCAATCATCCGCTGACCGGACGTTCCTTTGGGTTTCTCTCATTCTTGAGATCTTAAGGGATAGCGTGGTCGGCTCCCGGCGGGCATTGGTTGACATTGTCTCTACTGCACCTGCTAATCTTGATGAATTATACACCAAGATTCTTTCCAAGAGCACAGACTACGATAGGGCCCGCAAAGTTCTGGGCATTGTGGTAGCCGCTACCAGGCCTCTTACGATTGTCGAGATGAACATCGCGCTTACTATCGGGCGGGACCACAAGTCAATGGGAGACCTCTCATGCGATCTTTACCCTACATTTGAAAAGACAGTGAAAAACTTGTGCGGGCTTTTTGTGCGGATTATTGGTTCGAAGGTCTACCTCGTCCATCAGA